GGTGAATATAGTCTGGTGTTGCCCAAAAACTATGTTTACAATTAGGCCTATTTTGTCAGACTTGGTATTGAACTTAATGCACTAGAACGTAAAAACGTAAATTTTTCCCCTTTTGCGGCCCCCTAGCCCCAGCCTAGATGCTCGCTTCACTCACAAATAACGCACCCCGCGAATTCTGAAAGCTTCGCTAAATTGCTCCGAGTTCAGCTTGCCCCTGCACTTTCGTTTCGACCCCCCCCCCCTTAGATTTTTCACCGTACGCCCCTGTGTATAGTTGTAAATGTTGGATAAAAACCAATGCTTTTTTAAAAGTGTATGTTAAAAGAATGAAAGTGGCAAAGTTTTAAAAAAGGAAGGAACTGTCATAAATTGTTGGATGAGCTTTATGTAAATAGTAGAAATTTAATTTGGTAGTAAATACACAGGTGAGACTTAACGGTACCATAAGTGTAATATTTGTTTGTTGATTAAAATGTATCCTGCATCATGCACAGATGAAATTTTAGTGAAGTGATGAATGTACATAATTTTGATCAGATAGTGAGTATGATGAATGGTGAGTTAATACTGTTAGGGTAATTGTTTTACTTTTCAAATATTTAGAATAATGACAAGCAAAGAAGACAACTTCAAATCTCATAATTTGTAATTTGGTGGTTCTGAAAAGAACCGTTTGGTTTGGAAAAAAATTGGCATGCCACACATGATCCGGTTGTTCATGATTCTATAAAATGAAGTAAAAAGCATTTCCAACATGAAAAACTGTTGCAAAATCAATAAATAAAAATGTGTGCCTGTCGATATGGACAAAACTAGGTTACAGTATCTATGGCTAAATAAATATAATTACTGTATAATAATCGGTCGGCCCCTAGCCTGGAGAAAATGATTTTTAAATGAAAATGGTAGGTAGGACCATGGGCAGGACTCAGCAGACAGCTAGCCTAGGCCTATAAAGCCTAGGCCTACAACAAAATTATTTTCGTTATTTATAATTATTAAAAACAAAAGAATATGTGGGCAAAGTAAGTAAAAAAGTGAACAGTGTTTTTAAAATTTTTTCGTTTTTAAGGGCCAAACTTGACAATCGTAAGTAAAGTGAAGACCTGGACGTAAACTACAAATGAGACTAAGCGTAGTCCTAGGCTTACACATGAGCGCGCTACAGAGGCCGAACGAACAGACTTGGGGGCACATTATGATCTTAATATCTCGACCGGACATGACCGGACACGGTTAATTCGTGTACCGAATAAAAGATACAGCTTTCTACTTTCGTCTGAACTAAATTTTATTAACCTGCGACAACCGGGACCCTTTACAAACATTATTTATTGACATCACTTTCGTTCTTACAATAAAAATAAGCCAATACTTACAACTGATAAAAGAAACAGTTATTTTAAGCCGATTTTGACGTTTAAAGTATGTATGTTCTCGCCGAAAAAAACTATCTAAATACACCAAACACGCACACAAACCAACCGTGGATGATGAACTGTGCATGTGTTTTGTATTTCTAATGTTTAATTGTTTGTGTATTAAGTACTCCACTAACGCCAGAGCGTCTATAGGGGTTTAAACTTAAGCGGCAAGGAGCTGTGTGTATAAAGAGATAGTGCTGTGATAAGGTCCGCGGACGGCCGTAGTGCAATTTAATAGGCGAGAAAGATCAGCGATAATGTCGATGTTACTCCTTCTGTTCTATTTTCTCTATGGTTGCTATGAGTTGACCGTTTAGTATTTCTACATCAAATTGATTGCTGTTTATATTTGAAGTGATCATATAGTGAATATATATTGTATGTGTTCAATCAGGCATGATTAAATCTGATTTCAGATTTTTTCTACCATATCAATACTATGCTATAAGACAAATTACAATAAAAAAACAGAAGGTCTTCTTATATGCGCGACATACAGATTTTTAGATTTTTAAAATCATGTTCGTCTGTTAGTGCAGATCGTCCATAACATGCAAATTTACTACTGCAATAAATACGCAATTGCAATGAAAGCAATCTTAAATATGGGGAAATTCAAAATCCCTGCATTTAGCTCCGTTTTTAGCCAGATAGATGCAGCATCAAGACCATAAAAAGTAGCAAAAAGTATGAATTTCGACATTGAAACGGGGGGGGGGGGCGGGGGGGGGGGGTCGTCTTATATGCCCAACATACAAAAATCATCCAAATATCTTCTCAAACACGGGTATATACACTAGGAAAACATTACTTTTTGTATACTAGAAATTGTATACTAAATTTTTTATTGTAAAAATTTTATGAACCTATTATGTATGATTTATAATTATTATGTATGAATTATAATATTAAGGATTACAATGCATAAAACCACACAAATGTAGTGGCTCGACTCGCATGCCTCCTTGCTTGGACTTTCCTAGTGTACTTTCTCAATGACACAGGCCGAAATTCCAGATTTTTTTAAATACGAAGATCATGCCTGGTCAATACAGTAGTGAATTACTGTAGTATTAAAAGTATACTGTAACTTTGTTCACCTATGGAGAGGCTTTTTTTTATGTTGTCATATTTGATTTATTTAATCGATAAGAAGATTAGGATTGGGAAGTGATGCCCAATGGATTGTAAAGCTAGACTTTTGAGTATTTGCTTACCACCAACGACAACAACAATTGAGACCAACGTTAGGTCTGCTCAAATAGCTTTAAACTCCCACAGTAATTTACCCTGCCTGGGGGCTAACGTTGATGTTTCAATAATTGCTGCACAAAAACCACAAGTTTCAAATTCTTTGCCACTGCTTGGTCTATTTTGAAAAGTATTTTAGAAAACAAAAAGCTACTGAGATTTTGTGTTGCTTTTAAGCCAGCTTTCAAAAAAGATCACAAAGCTCTTGATTTAAGTTCTTTAAATAATGCCTAACCTTTTTTTTTCTAACAATATTTTAAGTCTTTATTTAATCTGAAGAGGTTGGTATTTATGCTATGCAGTACTCTTCACACCTTATCTCTCTCATGTGCAAGTTTCTTCATGTTTCAAATGTTAACAGTGTTATCCTACATATTTCTGAAGTTCTGTCATTGAACTTCTAACATATGGTACCAATAATTTGCAAGGAAAATACTAAGTTAATGAGGTAAGTATGGAACCAACATCTCAGAACAGAGTACCGACCTGCATATGTTTGGTACAGTGATTACCAGTGCAGAATTAATTAAATTAATTAAAATGAATCTTGATAACTTATTATCCAGCAATTGTGCCATACAAACTATAGTAGATAGATAACCAACTGAAGTGGTATCCTTGCCCACCTTTGAAAGCCTGTGAGCTGTCGGGGGGATAAGCTTAGAGCCCCTAGCAAAAGGCGGCCCACGCTTCTCTTTCAGTTAGCCAGCATGACAGTTTTTTCAGCCCTAACATTGATATCATTTTAGGTAGGATTCAGCCACTTCATAAACCAAAATGCTTTGCTGACATGGAAGGGCTGGCAACATTTTCTCGCCCTTCCCCAGCAACTTTCAACTTTGTAGATTGCATTGTAGACAAATCAGGGTGTATTGCTAGTTGCCCTGATGCAATCGGGAAGGCAGCCCGATTCGTCTGCAACTCAATCAGCAAAGTTGTACCAGGTTGAACCTTCCTGACAGCTGTCGGTGACTGTCGCTGATATGGTTAGCGATTCTATGGTAACTGAGCTTGAGACACCCAACATTTTTTTCACAAAAGCCACAGTCCTAAGCTTCATAAATTATAGTCTCAGTAGTAGGCCTATCACAGGTCATATTATATAATTGGGGAATATACTTATTTATTTATTATTTTTGTTTATTTAATTTGTTCACTGGTAAGACAAAAAAAAAACACCACGGAAGAAAAAAACATGAAAATTAATAGAAGAAATAAAAAACAACCAGTATGTTAAATAATACAAACATACCATAAAGGCTTCTAAAATGTGCTAACCAACATGAAAAGATGAGTGTTCACTGGTAAAACAAAAACAAAACAAAAAAAACCCACAAAAAACATGAAAATTACAAGAAATGGAGCAACCAGTGTGTTGAAGAATACAAACATAAAGGCTGTTAAAATGTGCCAACCAACATGAAGGGATGAGTAAATTATTGTAGAAACAATGCTATATTTGTGATGCCTCATACAGGAATGATATAATAACGGAATGAAAGCGTATTTATATAACAGTGCATTTATATTATTGCATGTCTTTATCCATAATAAAGTATACTTATGTTTTTCTTGCATTTACTCTGTATTCTGTTTATCTCTCTGTGTTTGTAGAATACCGGGAGATTGATCTGCTTGGAATAATCGGTTTTCCACTACCAGAAGAAGTGTACTTCACGATGGGCATGACTCGGGACCAACCCGCGTACGAGATTCGTCCATTTTCCAACCTGGCACGGCAGGCAGCTTCATTCTTTGATGAGGGTCTAACGCAAGATTTCACCATTAAAGCGGTGTTCAAACCAAAATCTGAAAATGGCGGGCCGCTCTTCGGCATTCTTGACAATTATCAGACCGTTATAATTCTAGGTGTTAATATTTCCTTAGCAGGCAATGACAAGCAGAAGATATCTCTATTTCTCTCAGATAGTCAAACTCTTACTCAAACTAGAGAAGTTGCCTCATTTATAGTGCCGAGTATGATGAAAAAATGGACCCGATTTTCGATAAGTGTTCAGAGACACGTGGCAACTCTCTATTTTAATTGTGTGGAATATGATAGTCAAATAATCAGAAGGAATTTAGGAGACTTAATTTTTCCAAATGAAGCTGCTGTTTTTGTTGCGAAATTTGGTCGTCTTACCGATGATGGCCAAAGCACATTTGAGGTAAGTTTTCCATATCTCTTTAGCAATCAAAAATAGTAAAATGGGTTTCTAGTAATTTTACTATATTTACTTTACATAATGAATTCATTTTTAATTGTTGATAAAATTGCTGCCATGACAGGTCGCCATCATTAAATCGACTGTCTAAAGACTGGGTCTCCGTCCAATTTTGGGCTTCAAAACATTTTTGGAGGACCGTGAAGTTGCCCAAGAGAAAAACAAAAATTAAAGATTTGTTTTGGGTACAACTACTTCAATGATAATTATATAGCAAATATGCAGTTTATACAAGATTTCGTCACTAAAGAATAAAGAACATGGAGGTAATTTTCATGATCAGAACTTCTCGCCAGGTCTTGGTACGTTGGTTCCTAGCCCGGCGGGACAAAGTATAGATTCTCAAGTAGGCTTTGAATTAAAAACTTTACAGAATCCTGGTTTCACGATAAAAAACTAAATCAATTTCATCACATTAAGGTTAGGGTGGACTCTGTGAATATTGGTATTTACTGTTGCATCTTACTTGCCATCAGCGTATGCTATTAATATTTGTTTTTTGTCTATTTAATTATTCAGCTATGCATTTAATTTATGTCCATAAATATAGGGAACTATCCAGGAGTTATCTATAACAACAGATCCAATTGATGCAGAGTTCCAATGTGAGTCTTCTATAGCTGAAGAAAATGAGGTTAGTAGTTCTTTTAATATGATGTTTTTTTGTAGACTTTTGTTTTATTTTATCATTTTATTGTTAATAATCTGAAATCAGTATTTGCTATTGTGAAGTAACAATGATAATTTTTTTATGGTCTTTTTTAAACATAAAAAATTAAAAACAAAAATTGATATGATGCCTATACAGTACTAATTAATTAATTGAAGAACTTTGTTTTTTTTATTTCCTCCACTTTTTAATGTAATTGACGGATTCTTAATTTTATCTTAAAATATTTTTTCTACTTTGTACCATTAGTGCCGTTTCAAAAATTTTAGTTTTTTAATTATGATTATTGTTATGGCAACCATATGTGTTGGTGACAATAACGTTGAGGTCAATGGGTCAGTTGCCAGCATGTACTCATTACTTGCTCACCCTTGTTGAGAGTGTTCTGATTATTATAATTTAGTCAGTGGCTATTTTTACAGTCGTAATTGTAATGCAATTGTAATGCAAGTACCTGTACACCCTTGAAACGCATCAAAGTGTAAAAACCGGTAATGTTCACTTGACACAACCTTAGTGAGGTCAAGATCAGCGAAGACTCGCACCTACCCCAGCCTTATAATGTAGTCTCTTTTGGGTATAGGCCTATAATTGTGATAATCATGACTTCTGTAATTTGCGGAGGGCCTAATTTTTCATGTCTTAAGTTTATATGGCCATCTCTTTTTTCCGTCTTTAATATAATTAGAATTTTTCTCATTATTTTTTTGCAATTGAAATAAATTTTAGCCTCAAAGAATTAACATTAGTTAAGGTATTTATCAAGTTCATGGAGCAAGCAAAAAAAGAACACACAACTATAGTAATTCTCGATTGTTCTGTGGCTTTAGAATGCCTTTTTATGTATGCTGCATAAATTTATTACGACCATTTTAATACTAGCCAATTAATTTTGTATTTAATATGAAGTTGTTATTAACATTTTTTTTTTTGGTGTTTCAACTTGCCTCATTGAATGAGAAATATATTGAGTTGATACTGTTTGCAAAATATCTGGAAAAAGGGGACCAAAATTGATCATAACACTTTGTTAAGGAAAACAAATGTAGATTGAGACAATTTAATGCACCTTATAAATTGATTAATGGTTGATTGTATATATTACATCATATTCATGGAATTTAAACATTTTTGTTTGCATGCTGTTCTGGTGTAGAAAACAACATATAAATTACAAAGTTGGTTTGAAGGCATAACATTTTGGAGTAAAATAAGTCCACATGATGTAAATTAATAAGGACATTTTTGATCGTGGCATAATTCAACTTCACACCTTTGTAGTTTGTGTCACGCACATCAGACTTCTGACTAATGCGAGTGGTATCAGAAGAAAGTTTTTCTCTCCTGTGCGATTTTTTTTTATAGAATGATTTACAAGTGCTTTGATTTAAACAAAATATAGAGAACAGGCAACATCTAAAAAATGTTTTGCCTCATTTATGTTTACAGTAATCATCTTTAAATTATTGTGTTGAATGTGGCGAACAAAATGTTCTTTCAATGTTCAATTAATTACTTAGCAAAGTGTGAATGATTTGGAACTGCCACTGTTATGGTATTCCTTAACCTTTATATATTGTTTTGAATAAGTATATAATTTTCAATTCAATTTTTTAAGGTAAATTTTAAAACCATGTACTTTCACAAAGTTATTTTTTGTTTGGCAGCCACTGACTCTGACTGACTGGCATCTTTCAAATCACATTTAAAATCATTTGCAGTATATTTACATCTTATTACTCACAATTCGACTTTAGTCACTTGCTTAACATTTTTCAAGTGGGTTAAGGTTAATGGAGAGGTTCGATGATGTTAAGTCAGGGGGGATGTTGTCTAGCAAAATAACTTGATATGAGGTGGCTTCCTAAGCTTTATATATTTAATCAGCTAATTTCCTATTGGGGTATTAGTGGCATCTTCTTGTGTAAGCTTTTTATGGAAGGGCATGCAAACCATGTTCTCCCCCTAATGTAGGTACACCATTGCATGCAGTTAAGGTTTGTATTTACAATATACTAATAATATTGACTGATTTTGTTATTCAGTGCCATTAGATTTTAGAGCAGATAGAAGACCGTAAAACCTTGAATAGAAGACCAATGGGCTTAATCTCAAATTGAAGCCACCCCTCTTTAGTTTGCAAAAGTAGCCTCGAAAAAAAGCCGAGAGGCTGCAAAGAAACAAAATATGTATAATACACGCTTGGTTTACACAATAGTTTAGGTGCTTTAATGCTGGTTAATGCACTCCATGATACATACTGTTGTTACAGTGGCCCTGATTATTGTTTAAAAAGCCCCCATTTTTACTTTGCAAAAGTAGCCTCGAAAAAAAGGCCATCTTGAAAAGAAGCCCATCTCAAAAAGAAGCCCATCTAAAGTTTGCAAAAAAAAAAAAAAAAAAAAGTGAAAAAAAGAAGCCCAGGGCTTCTATTCGAGGTTTTACAGTACTTTATCCAAGAAATGGGTGTTCATTTACAAAGTCACTGTGTGGTGGATATTGTATTCTATAGCCTGTAGACACAATCAGCGATTAAAGCATTATTACTCTGGTCGTTTATACCCATATTATTAGGCAAACTGACAGGTACATACATGCCAAGTTTGAGTTTGGCTGTGGATTGAGATTTGCACAGGAACGAAACAATTTAGGCGTGGGTCGAGGGCCCGCCTAGGGCCCCGGAAATTTTTAGGCCTAGGCCTAGATGCTCTCTGGTGCACTCTGAGCAGATCTCTAGTGCTCAAATTAAATCTTAAAAATGGGGTAATATATATACTAACATTTTTTGAAAAATAAAATTCTGTCCGACATTTTGGATTTGGATGATGCATCGATGATGATAAACGCAGCCAAGACCCTATTTTCGCCGGTAAAACCATCGTGGATTCTGGTTCGCTGAAAGTATTGATATGCATGATCGCGGTCGTAAAGTTAAAATAGAAATGACGTAATGTGTACAGCGCCACCAGTGTTAATTTTACACGAATACATTGTTTACTATCGGAACGGCATGTATTTTCGCGAAGCGATAGAACTTTCGTAGATTTTATATGCCTTATAAAACTACAGAATTGTCACGTTTTGGATATTTTTGTATTAATAGTCTGTCTCTTATACACATCTAGATGTGTATAAGAGACAGGTTTTACAGTACTTTATCCAAGAAATGGGTGTTCATTTACAAAGTCACTGTGTGGTGGATATTGTATTCTATAGCCTGTAGACACAATCAGCGATTAAAGCATTATTACTCTGGTCGTTTATACCCATATTATTAGGCAAACTGACAGGTAATGAATTTTCCCAGTGATTCACTCCCCACTACATAATGTTTTTAGTGAATTCAGTCCTCTCCAAGCTGAATGGGAAGAGGGAGAGAAATCATGGGCACCGAAAGAGATGTTAAAGCAACACCAACTGCAGCTATACCTGCTCCCAGGCCTATATCTAGGTTCGGATTAAGCACTGGAAGGACCTGCGATCGACCCAATGTGAGTGCGATGCACAGTGCTTCTAGGCTAGCTGCAGGACCACATGTTGCATGAATTCCAAAGTCTGAAATTCTAGAATGAATCTTATATTAAATGATCATACTGCCTTTTCTTGCCAATTACTGCCCACGCTATCATTGGAGCGTTGTTTTAATACCCTGGAAAATGTCCTCTTTCTATACATTTACAGTACGTTTACCATCCTGCAGTATGTTATTACTAAAAATAACTTAAGGTTGCTTATTGTGTCTATTCTTGTATGTAATGTTAGAGTTAAATAATATGTGATAGAATCACTCCTGGTATCTAATGTCAAAATGGGTGTACAGAATTATTTATTAGAGATAGAAATTTCTACTTATGATAAAAAAATCAAAATACTGTAGTTCCTCTGGTATAAGATCACCTATTTACACCCAATTTTACGTACTCGCCTTTCCTCAGACAGAACCCCAAAATTGGTCCAATTTTATGGTCAATTGAGGTGGGATTATGCCGGAGGAAATATGGTAGATAGTTAAGTGTTGTTCACTGCTGGAGTTCTTTGAATTAGACTCCTGAGTATTGAGACCATTCCAAAGCAGTGGAGCTCAGAACGAGAATTGCTCACGAGACTGCACAAGCTGTGGCACATGCTGTGTGTTGCAGTAGGATGCGCAAGTCAGGAGGGCCATATACTTACTAATACAATAAGCATTGATGGAGTTGTAAGTTCAAAGAGTGCTTCAGTTACTGGACCCTTTATGGATACACATGCATTTCTATGCAAAGGTGTGTGGATGGATAATTGAGAACCAATTCTGGTAGTCAATGCCAACAATTAAACAAGAATGCCTTTCCTGCATTTAAGTGCAAGATTAATGATGGCTGCTTCTTTATGGTAACATTAAGTATTAAAGGTTTACATTAGAAAAGCAACGATATTTTATTGAGACCACTTGGTGCATCTGTTGCTTTACAAGGGCTGAAGTAAATGAGGTAGTGAGCCATATGATAGCCAATCACATGCTAATAAGTATAGTCAAGTTTAAATATCCAAAATATAATGGCAAATTTAAAATCATATCATCTCTGCTATGTCTTGTCATGCTATCATGATGGAGTATTATCAGCAGCCCTTCTGCAGTACAGTATCTTTGCCTTTCATCTAAAATCTACCCTTCATTTCTAAGGAATCCCCAGATGCCGTCCAAGGAATCGGTCAACTGTAAGATGCTGTTTGGAATTTTGAATGTATCAAAGTATATATTTCAGCTGATAGCATGCGGTGCATGTAGCCCTAGATATTACTGTGGCTAGGACATGTCCCTAAGTAGCAGGTAGATGAGCCAAGTCTCGCAGTATAATTCTCCTTGATAATATTAGAGACAGGCTAGCCCTGTATCCGTATCAACCAGCATGGTTTGATTGAAAGATAGAACCTGTACTACTGTAGCCTGCTAGCTATGGCCATGTCCCCTTCACTTCCTTCAA